GGGGGTGGGGGGGAAGGGGAGAGGGGGGGAGAGAGAGAGAACCCCAGGCGAAGGGGCATTAGCATTCGGTAGTGGTGCTTGACTGTAATTATGCAGGGACGGAAGATGTTCGCCCGCTGCTAACACAGCGACTGAGAAATTCCGTTGAAAGGTGAAGGCAAGTAGTAATCTTCCATCTCTCCTGGTTTTGAAAGCCTGTGAAGAGAGGTGGCAGTTCACTTGTCCGTCCCGCATTTCCATTTTAGTACTACGCCGTAAAAATGTGGTTAGCTAATTCGGTAAGTTGGGAATCGAATTTCGCATAGATCGCGTGAGGCTGACCGGGACGGTAGAGTAACAGAAAGGTGATAGAGCGGCGATTTAACGGGGGGGGCCGGGGAAGGGAAGGGAAGGGTATGAATGGGAGGGAACTACTAGTAATAAGCGGAGAAAGGATCAGGTCAGGAGACCGACGGCGTCGCTCCGCCACTCACTACTGAAAATGTGCAAAATGAGAATGAATCTTCCGCTACAAGATGGAAAGATGCGCCGCCATGTAAATTTTGTCGTTTGTGCATGTGGTGAGTGGGTGGAGCGAAGGCCGCAAGGGATAAATGCCTTCTCTCTTCTCTTCTCATCTCACCGTCTCTTCCCTTCATTTTTTTTTATTTTTTTTCCCGTCCCTTCAATTTCACCTCATCTGCCTGCGTCTTATGACGTACTACAGGTAGTGAAAAATCAGTCTTCTCCTTTTTTCTTCTTTTCTTTCAAAAGTCCTTTTCTCCAACAGGAGTGAGTCTGGAAAAGCGTGAACTGTTGCGAGGGCACGGACGGGGTCTCCCTTGCACGCCCGCGGGTTAATAGAGAGAACGCTGCTGTTTTGCTGACTCTAGTAATAGAGTCGTAGAACTGATGCCGATATTCAACGGTGGGGATCCCCTTATCATCTCTCTCTCTTAATCCGCCGCGCCCTTCAAGCGGGACGCTGCCCCTGGTTGAGTTTTGTGGCGCAACAAAACTTCTACAACCATTGCCATTGTTTTTTCAAGATGATGATGATTGTTTTTTCAACATGATGATAGTTTTTTCAACATGATTGTTTGCTCAACATGTTGCGATCTCTGGACTCGTGCGCATTGTGGTGATCCTCATTTATGTTTTCTCATTGATGAAAGGCGAAGTAGGCAAAGTTCTGACGTTATTTCGCCTGTCTGCGCCGCCAAACACGGTAGGGTAGGTAGGGAATTTGTATCGAAAGCGGGGCTACCGGTAGGAAAGATTCGTCGGAATCGGGCCATGATTGTGACCAGATGCACCCGGGGAAGAACTCCTGAGTATGCGTTCAGAGTGTGTCTCGGTAGTGGCGACCGCGTGATTGACTGGCAATCTGCGAAGACACGTGGACCGACCGGTACGGAGGATTGTGGACGGCTGCGTGGTCGGGGCGAGGTCGCACTAGCAAAGAAGGATGAATCTGGATGCGTTTCATGCAGAGATGCAGAAAAGAAGATCAATCGCGATTTTCGGCATCAGTCCGAAAATCGTCCGGATTCAGGCTTTGAATCCAATCCTCTCTGTGCTAGTGGAACCTTGGCCCCGTCGGCCTCAGTATTCGTGTTATTCAGTTTGGATTGCTTGGCTCGAAGATAAAAAAAAAGAGATGGGAAGTCCTTTTTGGGGGTGTCCGTCAAAATTGGGACGATGTCCTTCGGGACATAAGTTAAAATTGGAGCACGATACAGAGAAAGAAGAGTAGCATGGCCCCTGCGCAAGTAAGGATGACACTCATCAATCGAGAAATGGTACAAAAGAAATGGGCCAGATACAGAGAACATGAGCATGGCCCCTGCGCGAGGACGACACGCATAAATCATTAGAAGAGAGAGAGAGAAAACAAAAAAAAAAGATTGTCCACGTCAGCTGCAGTCTGTGCAGAGACTCTGGTTTGCTTTGGTGGGACCAGTCCATCGAGATCGCGGCTTGGGTTGCGTTCCACGGCGGCGGCCCTGCCGCTGGCCCCGCGATGGCGGGAGGCTGCTTACGACGCTACCAGGAGTGGCCACACCAAAGTCACATTTTCACCGAACAAAGATGCGTGTTTTGACGGAGAGAGTCGAACAGACGAGCGAACCTACGCCGTTAAAATCTACGACGAGCGAAGGGTTGATAATAGAAATCTATCTACGGCTGAATTCAATTAAAAGACAGAACGAGATCATAAGGATCGCTGGCCAAAATCTACGGCTAGATATTGTTGAGGACCACTTAGGCGGATGCTTGCGTTTGGGCGTGTTGTCGACTCTTGGCATACGCTCGACACCACAGAGAGAGAGAGAGAGAGAGAGAGAGAGAGAGAGAGAGAGAGAGAGAGAGAGAGAGAGAGAGAGAGAGAGAGAGAGAATATCGAGTGTTTGGGGGATGAAAGGATGTAGGCCGTTCAGGGCGTACTCAGACTGGGACTTTTTCAACTTATGTATGGACGTGTGCGCGGCCAGGTGAAAAGAGAGAGAGAGAGAGAGAGAGAGAGAGAGAGAGAGAGAGAGAGAGAGAGAGAGAGAGAGAGAGAGGTGTAAAGAGTTGTGTGCGATTGTGCGATGTGAGGACGTAGGCCGTCCATGGGATAGGTGTAGTACAGAACGTTTTCAGCTTATGTACGGAGGGGAGCACGGTCAGGTGCAACGAGGCGAGAGATCGTAGAAGCGGTCGGATACATCCAGGAAATGCCCCGTTTGAGTGAGGCCGTTTCAGCCAGGTGTAGGAGCGCAAAGGCGATGGTCCACCGTTGGCTTGCCGGCAATTATTGCGGAAAATTGGAGGCCAATTAGAGACGCCCACGGAGCTGAGAATAATCAGCTCATGGGCTCCTCAAGTCCTATTGAGCAACAGCAGTATTTTGGACTGGGACTTTCGACTGAGATCTGGACGTGATTGCGGTCAGATACGTCCCGGCAGGGGGTTAATTGAAGTCAGATACACTTGCGGAAGTGCAAGTGTGAACATTCGCTTACAGCGCTTTTCTGGATGTATTTGACTGCAATTAACGCTAGTGCTGCGTGTATGTGGCCGCAATCACGTCCAGAGCTGAGTCGAGAGAGTCCTGGCATGAGTATGCCCTCCGAGGGGAAAAATAGGAAGCAAAGGAGCCGCACTCGCTTCTTCAAAGAACGAGTCCGACAAGGACTTTTCTATTGTCGCATAGGAGCTCCTCTCTTGTATGAATGAACCTATATTTCTTTTCTCGGT